CTTAGATAGCCGGTGGGAGAACTTTAAACTTTTTGCCCTTATATATTACGTCTATCTTCAAAAAATTGAATGTTTTGGGCCTGGTTGTTGAAGAAGAGAGTTAGAACATGAGACTTAGCAGGTACTGCTATACATGCCCTGTTCGGGGCTAGACGTGATCATAAGTATAGCTACCTTTTTATAACCCACATGAATCCATGTAAACCCTTGCAAAAGTCGTGCAAATCCGGAACAGGAGCCCTAAGACCTAAACCCTAAGCCCCCAGTCTAGGACATTTTCAGGTGGGTAGTTACCGTTATAGGAGCCTTATAGAAGGTCTATATACCTTATAGAAGCCTTACTGTACTTTCCTCTAACCAGAAGCCCGAAGTCCTAAACCCGAAGCCCTACATCCTAAACTCTTAGCCTTAAACTCCGAAACCCCCCAAAACCCCGCCAGGTGCAGTCGAAGCCCGAAACCCCTTATCCCCCAGGTGCCCATTATTCTATAATAAGGAACCCCCCAAAATAGTATAGGTAATTTTTATAGTATAGGTAATTTGTAAGGCCCCATAAGGAACCCCCCCAAAATAGTATAGGTAATTTTTAAGGCCCCTATAGCCAGGTGCCGTCGTGGTCGAGATCCAGCTCGCCCAGCGCCAGGTCCCCCGCGTGGCGAGCGTCCACGTGAAGGGCCTGAGGCCCTCCCTGCCGGAGACGAAGTACCAAGTCCGGCTCCTGGGTGTTCCCTTTAAGGGTACACGGTTTAGAGTGTAGGGTTTAGGGTTTAGGTTTAGGGTTTAGGGTTTAGGGTTTAGGGTTTCGGGTTTAGGTTTAGGGTCTAGGGTTTAGGGTTTAGGGGGCTCCTAGAAAGGGGTCCCCTTCTAAATGTACTCTAAGCTTCTATAAGCAGGTCCCCCCTTTCGCGGGTTCCTTTAATTTAAAGTAAGATTAGGTTTCCTAGGGGTCGATGGGAAACAAGGTAGCTAGACGTATAAGTCCATACAAAGTACTGATAACTGTCGTTATTACATCCCATGAGCCTCCAAGTAGGGGTTTAGGGGTTGGGCGTCTTAAAACTTCTTTCAAGGGGCTTATGTACCGGTTTGCATAGGGGTCTTACGAGGGCCTCATAGGGTTTGACAGCTGCGTTCCCATAGGAGTGACGTGTGTGCGTGTGTGTGTGTGTGTGTGGGTGTATACAATAAGCTAAATCAATCAAACTAGGGTTTAGGGTATAATAATGTAATGGGCTGTAATATACTAAACCCTAAACCCTAAACCCTAAACCCTAAACCCCAAACACTGAGTATCATGCAATGTAAGATGCCTGCCTTGTGGCGGTATCTTGTCGTCGGCTCCTTCAGAAGAGCTCAAAGCCTGAAGCCCTGCTCCCCAGCACTTGAAAGCCCTATAATCCCAGAGCCCTAAAGCCTAAACCCTAAACCCTAAACCCTAAACCCTAAAGCCTAAACGCTAAAGCCTAAAAGCTTTAAAAAGGCCTAAAGGTAAGCCCAAGCCCTGGAACTTTGAAGCCCCAAAACCCTAAAACCCTAAAAACCCTAAAAACCCTAAAGCCCTAAAAACCCTAAAGCCCCAAAAACCTTAAAAACCCTAAAGCCTTAAAAACCCTAAAAACCCTAAACACCCTAAAACCCTAAAAACCCTGAAGCCCTAAAAACCCTAAAAACCCTAAAAACCCTAAACACCCTAAACACCCTAAAACCCTAAAACCCTAAACCCTAAAAACCCTAAAAGCCTTAAAACTCTAAGCACCCTACAACCCTAAAACCCGAGGTTCTCTCCTTTCCAGACCTTGCCGACAGCCCTTCGCCTGAGCTCAGAGAGCTCCACCAACGGCACCAGGAAGAGCTTCCAGAGGACCCCAGATCTCAGGGGTCCCTCAAGGGGTTCCTTTACAGGGTTTAGGGTTTAGGGTTTAGGGTTTAGGGTAAACCCTAAACCCTAAACCCTACACCCTAAACCCTAAACCCTAACCCCTAAACCCTACAAAAGAGTTCCTTTTGATGGGGTCCTTCAAAGGGTTCCTTCAATTGTTTCGCCTATAGGGTTTCATCAAAGGCACCAGGACGAGCTTCCAGAAAATCCCGACATTCGGTTGATGATATAAATCCTGCATTGGGGTTGTAAACTATGGGAATTATGGTATATTCCTTATTATGGGTGATACCTGAAGAGGTCCTAAACTATGGACTTATGGTCTATTCCTTTTTGCGGGTGATGCAGGATGTATATCATCAGCCGTAACATCTCAGGATTCCTTCAAAAGGGGTTCCTTTTAAGGAAGGTTCGGTACGAGCCCCCCAGAGCCTTTAAGCACCCTTAAGCTAACACCACCCTAAAAAACCTTATGAATCTGGGTTTAGGGTTTAGGAATCGAGAACCTCGAAAGCCGTAGATCCACAAGCCCGACCACCTTAAGGCCCTCAGGATAAAGAGATCTTACACCCTAGAGTACGGCTGATAAGAAAAATCCTGCATGACCCATAATCAGGAATATACCATGTTTCCCATGGTTTAGGGCCCTTAAAGGTAATGCAGGATTTCTATCACCAACCGTAGGACATTGGCCTGGTCATCCTTGCCCGGATCGGTTATCAGCGTGCCCAGCGTCGCCACAGGTGGGCCGCCGTGCTTTTCACAGAGGAGGATGCAGAACAGCAACGACCACAATAACTGTAGCGTATACTGTAAGGTCGAAGGAAAGAGAAATGCAACACTGGCCACACGAGTAAGTACGTGCTTAAGTAGATATGGCACGAAGGCAACGAGACCTGCCAAAACAGAACATGACATGGACTGTCAGATATTTAGGAATCGAAAATGATAATAACATCCCACCCAAAGTAGTAGTATCCTCTTTGGAATCCTTGTCATACCTATGGTGCAACATACCGCCACAACCCTGATCCAACTATCAAGGCTCTACAGTAGACCTTTATGGTACCTCTTGCAATAACCTAAAAAAAGAACCTTGGAAGGGGCCCTTAAAGGAATCCTTAAAAGGAGTCTTTAAGAGGAACCCTTCAAGGACCCCTAGACCCTAAGCATTAAACCCTATACCCTACAGTGGAGGCTCTCTTTTCCCGTAAACGATACCCTTAAAAGGATCCCTTCAAAAGGAAGCCTACGGAACTCTAAACCCTGAACCCTTGAAAGGAGCGCTATAGAGCCCTTAAGGAAACCCTTAAAAAGAGCCCTTTAACCCCGCAGAACCCTTAAAGGAACCCTTTAAAGAAACCCCTTAAAGAAACCAAGGAGCCCCGCTTCAGCGCTTAAAGGGGCCCTTAAGGGAACCCTTAAGGGAATCCTTAGAAGGAGCCCTTAAGGGAACCCTTAGAAGGAGCCTGAAGGGAACCATCAGAAGGGGCTTTTACCTTTACGGGAACCCTTAGAAGGAGCCTTTAAGGGAACCCTTATCCTGGGTAGTATTAGGGACCACCCTTCTTAGCCCTACCTGGGACCTTGTTGAGGGGGTCTATATGCCCGAAAGCCCGAAACCCTAAAACCCGAAAGCTGCCCTTTAGAGCCCTAAAAAGGAGCCCTTGTAAGGAACCCCTAACCCTAAACCCTAAAC